AATTTTTATATATACAAAGCAAGGTGGATGTCAGGATGCCCCAAACTCTTGTTTTGGTGGGCATTTTAATACTGACTGTATGACCATAGAGAGATCTTGCCATTAGGTCACTCTTCTCATTGTGGTATTCCTTACTTTATAGTGTCTGCATCAAGAGGAAAAAAAAATAACTTGGATTTTTATTTAAAGAGAAGACAGCTTAAAGCATGTTCTTCCCAGAAATGGCCAAGTATAGTTCTGTAAATTTCTGACCTGTTCATAAACTTTCCTAAACTGTCTGGTAGGGAGTTCCCTGGAATCAGTGGAAAAAAGCTGATAAGATTTCATGTCCCAAGCAACCTGTTGCTCTTTCTTACTTACCCTCCAGTTTTCATTTTATAAACAGGTTTAGAACCAACTGTTAAAGTCTTGAGACTTTGGACTGTATTCTCAAATGATTTCCAAATGTGAGAGGCAAGTGAAGTGCAGAGGGTAATCCCGGGCCATCTCCTGGGGTATAAAAGAGGAAGAAAGGAGTCCTTCTTCTGGACTAAAGAAGATTGAAGCATCATCAAAAGATTTTTGGTTTCTTGGGTCCCATGACTTCTGAATCTGTTAGTTGTGATTCTGTCCATCCAGTCTGCTTTCTGCTGGCTGCAGAACAATATTTAAATTGTAAGAAAATAGTAGTAAGAAAGGAAGATGCATTTAAGTTTTAGAATGGGAAAAGCTGACCTTGGATCTTTGTTAGGCAGCTTATTTTCTGGTGGCGTAAGAAGGTCTGACTGAGTATCATATGGCATTCAAAGACTTGGAGAATTGAGTCCTTCTTTGATAAGTTAACTGGAAATAAAATATAAAGCATTCAGGAGCTGATATTGCCACTATCCTTCAAAAAAATGAATGAAATTTTCTTTTCCAGAGCGCAAGCCTCCTTTGACAACTGCAGTTTCAATGGGAGAAGGAGAGCAATCTACTACTGTGGACTCGGTAGATATGCCAAAGGTCCAGATTCCTCCTCCTGCTCATCCTGCCCCAGTACATCAACCTCCACCTCTGCCGCATCGTCCCCCGCCCCCACCCCCCACCAGTTACATTACAGGGATGTCTACTACAAATTCCTATATGTCAGGGGAGGGTTATCAGAGTCTTCAGTCAATGATGAAAACAGAAGGACCAACTTACGGAGGTTTACCACCGGCCTATGGACCACCAGCTCATCTACCGTATCATCCTCATGTCTATCCTCCCAACCCTCCACCACCAGTTCCACCTCCACCCCCTACTTCTTTCCCCCCACCCAATATTCCACCTCCTACTCCAGGATATCCTCCTCCACCCACATACAACCCTAATTTCCCACCTCCAAGACTGCCTCCAACTCATGCAGTACCACCTCATCCACCTCCGGGGCTGGGAATGCCACCAGCCAGTTACCCCCCACCTACTGTTCCCCCAGGTGGACAGCCACCTGTACCACCTCCAATTCCACCACCTGGTATGCCACCTGTAGCAGGACTTGGACGTGCTACATGGATGAGATAGCATGAGGTAATTTGCACGATATCCGTTTCTAGGCAGGAGTAGCTAGCCAAAACCTACATTGTAAAGATGAAGAGGAGGGTAATTTGTATAATTTAGATGAAGAAATGAGGAGGTGAAATGAAAATTTAGCTGATCTGTTTGCAGTATTGTTTATGGTGAGTTATATAGGCTTCTAGATTTTAATCAGCTTTGCAGTATCCTAACTTTATACGTTTGACTTAAGTTTAAATTGTCTTGAGTTATTCCAGCACTGGATTACTTTGTACTAGAAAAACAGCCATATTGGCTCAATTGTATCAGCAAGAAGAAAATTTCCTTCTAGAAATCAGTGCCTATTTTTGCCTATCAAAATAGCCAGATACCATGAAATTTGATATGTTATAAGAAACCTTAGTGTTTAGCAATTAAAACAACACAATGTCAAGCGTAAAAGCTACTGTATTTAAGAAAGATTCTGAGTGCTAGCTGACTGGAATCATTTTGAGGTGTTGGCCTTGCTGATATTTTTGGTTTGGAATGTACTGGTATCTTAAAGTATTGTATGTTTACACCTATTTGCAAATTCCTGTACATAATATATATATTTTGTAAGTGTGAAAGTCTGAATGTAACAGCCTACTGTGATGAACATTCTGGTTATAAATGGGACTACCTTGCTCACATCTACTCAAATAAAATTGGTTCTGAAGTTAGTGGATTTCCAGGTTTTTCCTATTAGTTCAGAATTCATAACTGTGGTACTTATTGCAAGATATTTCAGCAGGGGTCTCCCAAATCTTACTCATCAGTTTATTTAAAAAGGATGTATTTTATTGTATTCAACTAGAAGTATACACTATCACAATCAATCTCTTACTTCATTTTTACTAAAATATTTCAAATGAATGTTTTACACACATTATTAAAAAAATCTGTACTATTACTTTCCCGCCCCTAAAAAGCCAGAGTGGTTCAGTAACAGGTAAAAACGCGTGCTAAGGTCTAAAGAATTTTGCTATATACACAACAGCAGGTGCTGACTTTTCCAGTTCTTTGTAAATCATATACAGAAAATAGAGCAGGGCTGTAAGATCACAGGTTTAACAGAAATCAAACTTTAAAACTGATTTCTAAAGCAGCACAAATAGACTTTCTCCACATTATGAAAAATATACAATTTTATCACTTTACAGTCATGCACTTTGAAGAAGATCAGTAGTACTCTTCCCCCCCCCCCCCCCCCCAGTTTTTAGAAAGTTAAAAGGTCACTTTAACACTGATTTCTTTTTATATCTAGTATTTGGATAAAAAATGTGCCATTCTCAAACAAGGTTGTGCTCAGCAGTCTTCGCAAGGTGCAGAGAGCCAGCTGAAGCTGGTTACACCACAGCATTTCCAAAACTGTTAGGGAAATGCTGCTTACTTCAGCCACTCCAACAAAAGTCAAGGATGTGATTTTACTTTCCTTAAGTAAGCAAAGTCCGTGTGTAAACAGTGGATGCTTTCTTTGTCAGAGGATTGCAGAACGCAGGGCTTCAATCTTGAGGAAATTAACTTGGACTATTGCTCAAAATACATCAAATTAATGGCCACTATTTCAAGGGATGCTTCCATCCAACTGAATACATAAAGCTCTTCAGATAGCTTTCACAGAAGACTTAGAACATTGGTGAATGCATCTAAATATGCATAAACACCATCTTTTTAGACAACTGAAAATTCAGCACCCAAGTCATCCTATAAAGTCATTGAGTGTCATTTTACCCAAGGAAGACACTTTACAGCTCAAATGGAGCTAACTATGAAGAGTAGCAATTCTAAAATCCCCCAGACAAGAACATCCCAACATACAGTATGTTCTTCTGCAATATCAGTGACACACTTTTTACACTGAAGATTTATGCTGCCAAAGAGAATCTTAAGAAAAATGGACTCTACCCTAAGAGTATGAAGGTTATTCAGCTGAACTACTGCCTACCCTGTAAACTGGCTCTTCAGGATTTGCAGCACTAATAGACCTCAATTGCAGCACTCTTTCCTTTGGAGATGAGATCTGCAGGTGGAATAAAACAAGCTTTGCCTGAAGTCATTGAACAGATTTTTGAGAGAGATCTGATGGCAGGGAATATTTGAGCATTACATAGCTGGAGGGACTAGTAATCGGATTAGTAATACAGCTCTTGTCTTGTTCAGAGGACCGACTAGTCTAACGCACTCCTAAAATAGCAAGCATCTCATCAACACAACTCTACAAGTGCTGGCAACATTTGCATTGCTTTAGTTAAAATTCACTGATGTAAATTAGCCTTGTTCCCAATATGCTTAAATTCTCCACTTAATCCAGCGATTGAATGCCACCAAAATTAGAATGGGCTTTCAAGCAGACAGATTAAAGTAACCCTCTGTTCGATACTAGATGTTAAGGAAGAATGATGTCTGCTTTACATCACCTTTTCTGGAACAACAATCTTAAGGTATAAATTGTACAGAAGGAAGACAATCAATGGTGACTAGAAACTGGTGGTCAAAACACAAGGCGAAGAGGAGGAAATCCACAATCCTCCAAAGATGCTATATTTTAAAGGAGACAGACTCTAGAATGGATTTTTCCTGACTCCATAGTGTGTATATATTACTACACTTAAGAGTTAGCTAACTCAGTGTTCGCGGGCTGAGAGCTTATTTCATACTGAGTAAGAAATAAGCTACAGGTAAATGTACAAGTGAGAGTATGTGTCTGTGTTTTGGGGGATGGTTCTTACTTTTTAAAAAATAACCTACTTGACTGTTACATTTTCGTTTCTGAAATGAATAATGAAGTGGTGCTTACTCTTACTGGATACTGTGCATTTTGATTGTATTCCTTCTCTTATTTTTTACTGGTTACAGATTCCAGCTCTGACACTGCAAATTCTTCACCCAGGCAGCTAGTTTATTGTATACCATGGGACCAATTACCTTTCATAACTTGCAGCAAGAGCTCTTTGGTATTGTATCAGTGCTCCTTGTTAACACAATACCACAAATCAAAGAACTCAACTGGTAGAACAAATTAATTTAAGAGGAAGAACCTGTCCAGTTAATTCAGCTGTCTCTAGCTGTGACCGATTCTTATGGAGATAAAAAGAAAGTGATGGTGTTTGAGGTCATTAAATCTTCAAACTAATCACTGTAATCAATGCAACATTTGAAGAGGAGGCTTTGATCTTTTCACATGCCTGTCTTTAAAATTATTTCACACCAATGAGTTTAACAACCCAGCCCTGCTTGCCTGGACTATTGGGAAAGAACATCTAATGAAATTCAGGGGCAGCTGCTTTGACAACTTGGAAAAGAAGGGGGGAAAATTCTTACAACTATACAAGCAGCTACTCCACAATAGTAGAATGTAAGTCCCATTGTTTTATATACAACCATTTGAAGGGGGAAAACCCACTTGTTTTGGTTCATTAATAAAAATAAAGCTTGAATAGCAGAAAGTAGTCTCAGCCGACAGCCTGTGTTTATGGCATTTTTATTCAGCTTCACAAGGTTGTTGTTCAGCCACCTTACACAGGAACCAGTACAGGTGAGGGATCCAGCAAGACATTAAAAAAATCACCCGAATCTTCTTTATGTGAAAGGTTTGCTGCTCTTGAAGATCCTGTGAACACCACAAGCACTGTGAGGATGGCAGTTTCTGATGAATTACTCTGTAGTAGAAGATTTACAGGGAAAGTGCTGCCATGTTTGTAGGGAATATTGGTGTGTGGCTAAGTGACTTCATTCACATTGTGACTGCAGATATCTCGTGTCATTTTTAAGGAAAAAATTAACAGATGATACGGAGTCTCATGCCTTTCTGCAGGCTTGTGTGGTGTGTACCACCATACAATGCAGAATGGTGCTGGCGTTTTTAGCTCACCACTCAGTATTTTCCACAGCGCTTTGTGAAAACAGTTGCATGTCATTCTTCTGAATGAGGACCTCCAAAAGCAAGTGTTAGCAGCTCAAGAGCTTGGCAGGCAGTAAGCCAACAAATTCAAGTTGCATTTTCCTTGGAAGGTGCTGCCTGGAGCCACTATGAATCACTGACAAGCGGGTGGACAGGAGTGATACAAACTGTGACTTCTCTGCAGTTTAAGGGTTCTTGTTCCTCATAGAAATTCTCTTGAGTTAGTTAATTCTACAAACAGACCATTACAATGAAGCAGGTTTGAACTACAATACAAATGATGCAAGTCTGGCATTACTGGATGGTTACCCATCGAACAGTAGTTCCAGAGCACCACAGCCTGGAAATCAGGACTTTAGCTGCCATATTTACACTATTGTTACAAAAAAAAAAAAAAAAGCTGGGGGGGGGGGGGGGGGGGGGGGAAGAAAAAAAGAAAACCCATAAAAAACTCAACCCCAACTCCCAAAGAACAGGCAGCCAGAAACGCTGAGCTCTGCCTCTTCAGTCTTCACAGAATCAATCAATCACTTCCAGTCTCCGGGATGCCGCTCCTACAAGGGACCCTTGAACTGGTTTCCTGACAGATGTTGCCTGATTGAGGGTTTGGAGCTCGCAGCATCACCCAGCTTTCGCCAGACAACCTGTAAGAAAGAATAATTGGGTGGGGAAAACGAATTAAAATCCAAAGTCTGTGAGGAGTTGCAGTATTTCTACAATTGGAGTCTGAAAGTCGTCATCGGCCGTTTCCCAGAGCTGCGCTGTAATTCTCAATAGAGACACTGGATGGCACCTGCGCACCAGTTCCCATGGAAAACACTATTGATGCATTTTCCTAATTAGTCCCTCTTGAAACTAAAACTGGTTTTGCTTTGGGTAACAGTAAAAATAAATACGCTAGGTTCAGAAGTTAAGTTCAATATTAGGTCACCCCTGCCATGCTTACAGAAAAGATGTTACCATGAACAGAAAAAAAAAATGAAAAAGGCAATGATCAAAAATACACATCTATGACTTTCTAAAAATATACAGTTTATCACTCTAGGGCCACTGGGTGGAGGGAGACAATTTCTTTAAAAATAAGAAGCTGCAAAGCACTTTATATCTGCCTACATTAAATGAATATTTAAAGAAAAAACAGCTGATGACAAACAAACAGAAATTAGTCCATTTGGAAGGATAAAGTTATGGTGTTTTACCATTCCCCCTGGCACAAGGGAATGTGGCATTAAGCAGACAAAATACTCTAAAGAGCATGTTGGCTTTGCTCATAGGTATCCAGCAACTGAAGTAACTCAGAACCTTGCCAAGGATGCTGTTAGCTTTGCTCATAGGTATCCAGCAACTGAAGTACCTCAGAACCTTGCCAAGGATGCTTGCTCTCAAACTCTGCTCAAAGCCAAAGCATGGCAGAGGTGCTTTGCAGATGGAGGCAATGCCACGGCAGCATGCACCGCAGAGCAGAGGTTTGGCACAAAGGCCCACCATAGAAGATGTGGCAAGTTCAGTTAACAGTGTGGTTGCCCAACATGTTAGCGGTGCTGATAGCACTCCACACATCATGGTGCTGTCCAACAGCTTCAGACAAGAAGATTCTCCCTCTGATGTTATCTCACGGTTTAGGTTCAAACCCATTCAAGCTGTACAGCTTTAAAGATGGCAACCAGTTGCTGCTCAGCCCAAACCAAGGCCCTGAGGGCACAAGGTGAAGTCAAGTGCTAACAGGACTCTCCTAGCCAGGGAGCACCCCTAGCACAGCTCTCTGTCTGCTGGACTAGCTACTGTACACCCTTGAAGGCAGCAAAGTGGGAACTGCCAGCTAAGCTAAGGCTGCTCCATGCAATGAATGAGGCATTCGGGTTACTGATACCCAAAGCAGTGGTCAGCCGAGCCTCCACTCTGCCCTTGTGCCTGTGGATCTCGCATCAAGCAGGGCTTCTATGGAGTAGATCCCTGCTCCTCCATACTTCTAAGAAAAGACCTTGAAAGAAATCCCTAGAGTTACTTGAGAGGAGTTCTTACATTGCACATTTCACGGACGATCGCCTTCTCCTTTTCACTCAGGTCTTCTTCATAGTTGTCTTGCATTTGCCTGTCCAAATTTTCATGGACCTCAAGGACCTACAAAAAACAACATTACAAAAGCATTATGCTCCTCAAATAATTACGTGTCCCTAACAGCATCGTTAACCAGTATCTACATTGGCAGGAGCCACAAAGCCTCGAGGTGGGCCAAGATGAGCACAACATGAAGATGAGTGCCTCCACTCTCCTCCTTCACTGGTGATGGCACGCATCTGTCCACCCCCTGCATGGTATGGCTGCCACCACAGTCCTGGGGGACCATGTTGTAAGTAGCAGTGAGCTGCCTGTGCCCAGAAATGCATCTCTCCCAGGAAGGCTGCTAATAAGCCCATCTTCCAGGCAGCACCCCCAGCAAGGCAACCCCCTCCGTACTGCCTCCATCACATCCATGTGCATTCAGATTGCCCCTCCAGACAGGCACGTTGCACAAGTCAGGTGCATCACAGCACAGGACTACCTCCAAATGAGTGACCTACATACCTCACCCAGAGCTTTGCCACTGATGAGAAAGATGGTCAGCTCAGTGTGCGGGGTCAAAGATCCTGGAATCACCCAATGCCATCAAACAGCATGTGGTCTTATTCACTACAATACATCCACACACATATAAAGCCATTCAGCAGGTGTATTTCTGTGTGTAACTACTCCTACACCTCCTAGGGAAGAACAGAACCAGATGCAGTGCAAGGATGGGTTTCACCCTTTCCTGAGGTACACAGCACTGGCTGCTCCATGAAATGGGATGCCAGTGTAGATTATCCTCCCCGGTCTGCCTCAGCACAACAATCCTGCTGTATTCGAACTGCATTACAGACAAAAACAGGTCATTCTCCTAGGGCCCTTAACCTACCTGGGACCAGTCTTTGCACAGGTAAGAATTACCCTCATCCTTTCTAGGAGGAGGGGAAGGACAAAAGGGCTGCAAAAGGCATGTGTGTGCTGACAAAGAAAGCATCTATTTTTTGCTAAACAGGAGGGCGGAATTAATTATGGATCCAGCTGGACTGGCACATCGAACTTGCTCGTCTGGAGTCAGTGTACCTCCAGTGCTCAGCTACAAAGGCAGCAGCCTGCAGGATCACATCCCTGTGCACAGCGCCAGGGTTGCCTGGCTGGCAGCTAAGCACTGGCTGCGTCCACAGGGCAAGCGTCAAGGACAGCCATGGTTTAGATTAGTTAAAGATCACATCAGTTCCAGCCTCTGCTTCCACCAGCCATCAATTTTGCAGGCACGGGAGTCCCAATGGGCAAAAATAAACGTTTTTTCTACAATTTGTGCTTAAACTAAAACCACATTCCCTAGTCCAGGAGATGTGGAAGGATGGCAAAGCCCATTTCTTTCAGTAGAAATGTCTTTTAATGGTGTGAACCAGGCAGAGCTGGAGTTGAGAGCTGAGCAGACAGAAGTTATGGTTGTATTTCATTTCTGAATAACTCGGGACTTATTTACCCTGGAAACCATCCTGCTCCCCAGGCACACCCCACATCTACATGGGCATTTTGCAAAGATGTATTAGCATCTCGGGTATGGGAAAAAGTGATTCAGGGGGATAAAACTCAACAGCCTGGCCTGGAAAGGCATGCTAGAAAAAAAATACACTCTGATGAGTGAAATCAGGTCCTGAAGAAAGACAGGAAGGACTCTTAGTGCTGACCCAGCCAGAGCCAACCTCAGATCCTGCCAGGCGCCTCCTCAGCTGTTTAGACCAGGTTAATGTTCCTCCAATTACACTGCTGGGACTACGGATGTGCCTTCACATAAATTGCCTATGGCTCAGCTAAAGTTCAAGGACTGTGGATTCAGCGTGGATCTAAGAAACCAGGGTATATCCTCCCAGGATTTGTGCCGCATCCCAACCCAGGAGCCCACAGGAAACAGACAAACATACCCCAGGCTTAAAAATGGCTCATGCCATCCCCTCCTTTTTGCTGTTCTTCAAGGAGCCCTGACAGCACTTGTCCCTTTGCAGACACATGGGTGAGATGTGATGGCCCTGGGTAAAACACCAGCAGCCTGCTCCACTTGGACGCAGGCAGATGGGGCTGGACTGGGGTGATGCTGCCCCTCTGCCTGGGGACACCATGTCCTGAAGACAACCTGCACCTTGCTCACCTGCACCTTGCTCTCAGTGAGCATGTGGCTTCTCTGGCTTTCTCCCTGTTGATGTGTGAACTGTGAGGAACACCTCAAGTATACTGAATTGTCCTTCATGCACTGAAGTCTGTGATCAAGGCAGTGTCACCTCGAAGTCACCTAGTCCATCACATCCACCTCCCTTCTGACTGGCTGCACTAGCCCCACATGGCCATGAAATGCATCAGAGAGTCTGGATGACTGTAGTAAAGCTTTGGAAGGGAAGATGAAAGTTGAAGTAAGCATTTCTGTACCAGAAAGGACTCTGAGACTGAAGGATGCTTTCCAAAGGGTGCAAGGCTCACTGCTTTTACTGATTTATAAATCAACTGGGCAAAGCACTGGGGAACATGGCATCCTTCTTCAGCAAGAGAACAGTCTATATGCCCTGCTAGGACATTTCCCTAGTTTGGGCAGGACCAAATGCTGCCTTAACAAGATCAGCAGGAGTGACTGATCACCTGCTTGATGGCTCTGTGCACATGGAAAAGGTCTAGGCTGCTGCTACAGGGGAGGTTGGGTTATAGGCTGAATGTCATTCTCTTACATGTGTCTCCTCCTCAGCTCCCCATATCTTTAGAGGTTTTCTCAATTCCCAAGGAAAGTGCTTTGATGTTCAGTGAGATACTGAGCTGTAGCATATGTACCTTTTATTCTTGTTAGCAAAAACAGCTGTTAGGAGTGCCAACCTGTCATCTTGCTCCTTATTTAGTAGGCACAAATAAAATCTATTTCAGAAGCAAAAATAAAAGAAAACCCCTAAATGTGCTTAAGGGAGAACTTACTGATGCTAAATGGCAGACAATGCTTCAGCCACATAGCAAGTATTCAGCTGCTAGAAAGAAAAAAAAAACAAGGAAAAAACATACAGGACACTACATAGATGGGTGCAAATGGGGCAATCCAGAAGCCCTGCAGGTCTGTGCAGAGTGCACAGCCCCTCAGTGCCCTTCACTTGGGCACAGAGATGAACCACTTCTGGACAGATTTGAATGCAAGCATCCCATGAGACAAGCAAAGCCAACTTCCATCTCTCTTTGCTTTTCTTCATGGTAAGGAGCTAGCCTGCTACAGCCATGAAGACTTCTTAACATCTAATGTGCTATAGCCGCATCACAAGTCTCATTTGTAGGCTACTGTCTTCTCTACTCTCTCCTCAAGGGAAGGTCATGAACTGTATCACAAGCGAGGAGGGTCTAAGCTGCATCCAGTTTCGCACATGTAGGGGGCTGGCACTGGAAAAGCTATCCAGTTCTGCAGGGTGCAAAGAAGAGTTATTCCATATGTTACAGCATGCCATGGCCAAAAAAGTCATCTTCTACCCAGTTTAAGATCCACAGCTGAAGACCAACAGCCACAATATCACTGTGCTACAAGAAAGGAGGAGAGATTGAGAGCATGGCCAGTTTCCTCAGTCTTTTCAGTTACCACCTGACCCTTGGAAATGGGCCACAGGATGGAAAACTAAACACCTCCCTTCCATACTGACCGACAGGAGAATTCCTCCTCCCTTCAAATATGAGAATATTGTTAAACATAAGTGTGTGAGCAGGATATGTCACGTGAGACCATTTATGGCCCATGAGATGTGACTGCTGTGATACCTGCTTCCTGACTCTAGTCATGGCGCCTTCCAGGATTTTGGAAACAGACAAACATATCACACTGGGCAAATTATGAAACTGCAGAAAAGAATTTCAGAGGGACCTTGACACTCTTGTGAGGTGGGCTGATGCCAACCTCATGAAGTTTAACCATGACAAGTGCAAGGTTCTACACCTGGGTTGGAGCAATCCCAGGCACAGCTACAGGTTGGGCAGAGAAGAGATTCAGAGCAGCCCTGCAGAGAAGGACTTGGGGGTGTTGGTCGATGAGAAAATGAACATGAGCCGGCTTCAGTGTGCGCTTGCAGCCCAGAAAGCCAACTGTATCCTGGGCTGCATCAAAAGGAGCGTGACCAGCAGGTCGAAGGAGGTGATCCTGCCCCTCTACTCTGCTCTCGTGAGACCTCACTTGGAGTATTGTGTGCAGTTCTGGTGTCCTCAACATAAAAAGGACATGGAACTGTTGGAACAAGTGCAGAGGAGGGCCACGAGGATGATCAGGGGACTGGAGCACCTCCCACATGAAGATAGGCTGAGGAAGTTGGAGCTGTTCAGCCTGGAGAAGAGAAGGCTGCGTGGAGACCTCATAGCAGCCTTCCAGTATCTGAAGGGGACCTGTAGGGATGTTGGGCAGGGACTCTTCATTAGGGACTGGAGTGATAGGACAAAGGGTAGTGGGTTAAAATGTAAACAGGGGAAGTTTAGGTTGGATATAAGGAGGAAATTCTTTCCTGTTAGGGTGGTGAGGCACTGGAATGGGTTGCCCAGGGAGGTTGTGAATGCTCCATCCCTGGCAGTGTTCAAGGCCAGGTTGGACGAGGCCTTGGGTGACATGATTTAGCGTAAGGTGTCCCTGCCCACAGCAGGGGGGTTGGAACTAGATGATCTTAAGGTCCTTTCCAACCCTAACTATTCTATGATTCTAATTTTTTCCAGCCCTTCCTAGCAATCAACAAAGTTCTGAAAAAGAGGATTAATAACAATATGCACAAACAACCAGCCATAAAACTTCAGCTCCTGTATATGCATCACTGTGCCAGACCCCCCAAACTTACTTTCCAGTTTCCAAGAATCTTCTTCACTGATTTTCCTGTCCTTTCCATAAGCTTACCAAACGACATCTTAAAACCGTTTATTTCCTGCCGTTACTAACAAATTCAGTCACATAACCCCTAAAGCAAATAAGAACCTGATTTCCCCCCAGAATGTGTTCATAATTAGTTTATAACTATTTGATCTTGTAACTTAAAAACATTATCAAATTTGCTTAATTTTGTACCTCACCAACACCCCACCAAATGCAACAAAGGGCAGGAGCAGAAAGGTACAAACCCCACAGTTGGGGAAGAAAAAGCCAAAAGCAAAAGTAGTCTGGACTGCATGAAGGCTTGGATGATTAAACACAAGTAAAACTGGATTAGTACAAAATGTCAGAAAAACAAAGGTATCACATGAATCTGCAACATTCTGCAAATCTATAAATCAGTATATTCCAACCAGAGCCTAATTTACTTAGAGATTTTCCAGGCATTGCTAGAGCACCCTGGAAAGGACTTGTGCTTTTGTGTCCCTTAGATACTCAGAAGGAACTTGCTTAGCTAGTTTAACATGAGAGTATCACATTTTTCCACTAAAGGATGGTCACTAGCACTTGAGAACTGCTGTGAAACCATGGTGCAAGTTTTCTCCTTTAATTCAGCTAGCAGTGTCCCATGGGTTTTATTGCCAATGATCCTGACTGTAATCCCCACTGATGATACACAGATCTACATGGGTATGATGCTGTGGTTTGCTGTGTATTTATATAAAAAGAAGTTCTTCTCCTTTGAAGACTGCTGCAGGATTTCAATAATAAAGCACATGGAGGAACTGCAGTTTTTCTGCTCTTTTTAAAAACAGCATTTTGGCCACCACTGTCACCCCAAAGATCCAGTTTACACAGGACTGATGAACAGAAAGGGTAACCAACACCTTCAACATCAGCAGCCTTTATTGGAGGATTCCCACCCCAAAAAATAGTCACTCCCAATCTTGCATAACTCCACAACTACTTGAAGTGATGATTATTCACCATGATACAGGTGCTGGTTACCAACAATCTGCCTGAGCACTAACTTTCCAGTTGTTGTGTTTCCATGAGAGGAGGAAATGTCTAGTTCTGCCACTTCAGTGTTAGCTCTACCGCACCCCACTGTACTGCACCATGCTGCATAGATGTGTGGGGATCTGCAGCATCCTTACCTTCATAGCGTGCACAACAGCCTCTGGCTTCTGACCAACAGGCATGTATCCTGCTGCAGGAGAAGATGCAAGATCAGATGCCATGCGAGCTGGTCCCTGTTGAAATAAGAGAAGATACGCTCTAATTCCTTTTAGGTGGTTTAAATGAGGAAGAAAATATCCAGAAAATTTGAAAGCTAGCTTCTCCCAAATTCCATCAGCCACCTGCAAAGACAAAAGACACCACTACCCTTCCTCACAAGTCACTTGACTTAATGCCATTTAAGCCTACTATCACTCAGTCTAGATGTACTCAGGCAGGAGATCACCCCAGTTTAAAGCTAACTTGATTCAAGAAACCTTTTTCACTCACTTAGGATAACTTTGTAAAAGAACAAGATCAAAAAGTTCTCATCCTTCTAGCCAAGGGAGAAAAGCAAACAAGATGATTTTTCAGCATAAAGCAGTCACTGCTAAGGACTAAGAAGCTGCGTTGGTGAAAGAAACAGTTGGTGTAACTTCATTGCTTTTCTGGCAACATTTTTACATAGACATCAAGTACCAATCTTCAGCTACAGAGAAAATTGTCAAAGCAACCTTAAAATAAGCAGATGCCCAAACCTAATGTTGGCCGAGTTTGTTTCCAAAATGCTGGCCAGTCCTCCTGCATGAAGGATCCCATTGGGAAAGATGCCGAAATTTATTTTACAAAAGATTTCTACTGTCCAAACAGCCTTGTAAGCAAGCGCTTTTCATAGGGCTTTCCCTCTTTCTAAATGTGTCTGACTTGGATTATGAGAGACACAATATCTTTATTCAGTGAGATGCACCCTGCCTGTCCCTAATATTTTTGCATTGCTTTGTAGCAGTGGGAGAAATCAACAATGAAACCATTGATCAAATTCTAGTCTTCACATCCTTTAGAAAATACAAAGAATGATTATACTGAGCCTCTGAAAGCAAATTAGGATGGCAGAGCAGCATGTAGCACCATCACAAGAATGCTTTCATATACAACACGAGACACTCCTTTCTCATCTTTTCCACGTTTGAAAACACAGCATGTTTTACACTTCATCTCATCACTTTGCCTTCTAAGCCAAGGCCAGCAAGCTAGTTGTGTCAGAAAGGAGGACGTACGGAGGAGCACTTCACCACCTCACATCTTTCCAAATGTTTTAAGTTGTTGGGGCCTTTTTACTAATAAAAGTGTTCGTGTGCATACATTAAAGAAAAAGATGGGCCCATGCGTTAGGCTACAGACAAAAATAGCATGAAAGGCATGGAGTCATTCATGCCTAGGCTACTGATCTGTGTTCAATCCTTGTCGTGACCAACAGCCATATACTCACAACTGGTGACACAAGAACTTCCTACTGAGAGGCAGGCATCGCAGAAAAAGCAAAATAAGATTTAGCAATTCCACAGTAATTCTCCAAGGAGATGTGACAAATGGACAACACACAGAGACCAAGAGACACTTGTACACTGGGCATAGTTCTGGACTTGCTGGCAGAGGGTTACAGCTTGCTGTAGCTGTGGCCACTTGGGGACACGTCCTTAGCCATCCTGTCCAAAATGTCACATAGAAAAAACAGAGGCTGGGGACCAGGGACTGGGGCATAGCTGTGACTTAAGACTGCAAAATGGGTTACCAGTTTCTCAAAGGGCTGGTAATGCAACAGAGTCCTTCCAGAATCAGCCTCCCACAGACGTCAAAGACACCAATACGTGTGTAATTCATCTGGCTTCAGCATGAAAGGTGCCTTCTTTCCATAAATGGCCAAGACCATGACAACTGATAGCAGAATACTCAGGAGTTTGTAGTCATGAACAACACTTGATATTGATCTTCCCTACAGCCCTCTTTAGAAGTAACACAGGAAAAATCAAGCAAAGGTCTAACATCTGATATTTATTCTGAATTAAGAGTAAATTGACAAAGTAAAAGGAATTCTGATGGACCTGGCTGTTGACAACATTTAAAATAGAGCTTTCTGACCAAACAAGAGTAGCTCACAAGGTCTCCTACACAACAGGCAGCAGCAGCTTTTCCTCACAGAACTGAAGTCACTAATGAGCTATAAAGCATTTCCATGATCGTAATCACTCTCAAAATCATTATACAATGCAAATGAAACCAGAATGATTAGAGATATTTTTTTCTACAGAACATGATCATACTTAACAGATCACCATATTGACAAGATAAAAGTATTCCTGCAAATATGGTGATGTGCCACATGTATTGTATAACATAAAAAATACTGAAGCTTCCTGTATGGAGGCATACGTAAAGGAGACCACAAAAGAGGGAGCTGTACATAGCTATAGGATCTGCAAGGAAAGAAATTACAACATATCCAGCAGGATGCATGGCTAGCCTTTGGAGGATGGAGAGTTCACCGATAGTGTTAGTTGAAGGGGAGGAAATGGAAGGAACTGGAGATAAGGTCAAGGCTGCTGGACTGGAAAACTGCCAACAGAGGAGAAAAGTCAGGGAAAGGGAAGAACGAGGAGGATGTACATTTTCCCAGCAGGAAACCAGTTGAGATGAAATGCAGGGGAGGGGGAATCAGAGATAGGAGACAGGAGATTGGAAGAAGGTCAGGAGGGCAGGCGAAATGTCAGGAAGTCATTGTTAAGGTAGTAGTTGAAACCACACATATGGAGGAGATTCCTCATGCCTAAAATAGATGCATTTGGAAACTGGGGGTAAGAATTACCACAGCTGCACCCCAGCGCTCTAGCTCAGCCACTCTGAGGACCTCCATCACTGCAGAAACCCACGCCCTTCCCGTTCCCTATAGCTGACATTTTCACAGTCATGGGAACACACTGACTCAGCACCCTGCCAGACAATAATAGCAAGGTTAATCTGGTTACATCCTAAGAAGCAGAAATTGTCCATACAGGCAAAAAGCAATACGGTGTGTTTTGGGGCATGTATCACTCTCCATTTCCTCTCCTTGCCTGGTTTTGTCAAATATATACTCTCTTTTGTCAAATATATACTCTCTCTCTATATTAGATGCACATCTGGCTTTTCCAATTGATAGGTTTCCATAGCATTTGGTAGCTCAGAGATAGTTCACTCTTCATCCTCAGACATGTGGCTGAGGCGTCACGTAACTATATAAATGAATGGTGTTCAAAGACAGCTCAGAAGTCACCAAAAGGATGACACTACGTTTATAATAAACTTGGTCATTTTTCTAGTTCTGCTGAGGGAACCTCAGCAGAATGAGAAGCCAAGCAATTTCAAAATGCAAAGTTTCTTTATTCTCTTTGGCCCAACTAGCTTTAGAGTTGCTCCAAGTTTACAGCAGCAGAGACAAGACTGGAAGTTTGCATGTGTAACTCAGCACTTATACAAGGAACTCGTCATTCAAAAGGAAATGACTGTGCATCTATGTTGTGGTGTCAAATGGTCAGCTGGGTAGAACTGCAACGTACACCACTTTCTGTTTCATCCACAGCCGGCTACAATGCCACTTAGCATCAGCTCCCACCCTGCCAGCCCCACATCGTGCATGCTCAAACCACAAGTCCACCAGAGAAGCTCAGTTCTGCTTGAGACCCTTCCAGAAACCTCTCACTAGAGCCTGCAGGGCTTGTGATTCAATCTCCAAGTGAGTAAGGAGATTCACAGTCCAGCTGTTTCATTAACAGACTAAGAAAGGAGAGAGGAACTCTGCAGTCTCTTATAGGAGAGCATCCTTGAAGCAATATGCTATGCACAGGGGATAAATCCGCCAGTTCTCTATTGCTAAGAATGATACTTGACCTGGTGACAGCCTCAAATCCAAAGCAGAAAACAAATAAAATCCAGCTATCACCACTCATCACTCCAGCCCAGAACCCAAAGACAATCAGCAAAGCAACAGCGCTTACATGGGAAAGAAAATCCAAAGACCATAAATACTGCCAATGATCCTTTTTAATCTGACACAAAAAATGAAGAACAGAGGCCTCAGCCTGTAGGTGCTGAAGAATATATGCTGCTCTGTATCAGGCCACACATGGCATTGCCAATGTCTAAGACCAAGTTGCCTAATGAGTCCTTGCTGGCTCTCTCTGCTTGCATGGGATGTAGTCCAGCACAGATGCTGACAAGTACCACCAGCAATACTCTATTCCTACATGTTTGGAGGAACAAAATCAATAGGACTTTCTGTAACAGGGCATGCTGGGAACCCCTGATAATAACACACCTCCAGAGAGGCAAAGTAAGGCTTAAATTATGAACATTTCTTAATAACAGTGGGAACACTTTGGAGCCCAAGAAGAAAAGAGCCTAACTGGGGATGACAGGTGTCTGCTCTTTTAGAGGTTTTGGGCTGGAAATCTCAAAAAGGAACAAAGAAATTGCGATAAACAATTTCTCCTTGATTCCTCTGGGTACCTGGAAAGACATGAGACCTTAGTCCTACCACCAGTTTTCAATCTCTTTCTGCTCAATTATATTCTGTCTTCTAATGACATGCTTTGCTACCTCCGTTCTGAGAGAGCTATTCCTGATCTGCAGAAAGACTGCAAAGACTAAATTTCAAAAGCCAGAGGAGCATATTTTGCTGATTTGACTTCACCTAACAGCCACAGCCCGGGCACCGCGGATGCTTCAGACTAACACAGAGCATATGAGCAAACGTTAATGCTTCTGAACTTCACATCTTCTCGTCCTATTAATTTTTGTCTACCATTTCCAAAAACAAGCAGACATTTAGGATTCAATCCTGATTAAATAACCCACACTTTTCTAATGGCATTCCTCAGACAACATTAAAGCTAAATGGAGTCATATCAGACACTGTGACGTTTTTATTGCCGAGACAGAACAAGGAAAATTACGTTATAGGCAGGTCCTGTCAGACAATGAAATTCCAACGCACATCTGTTTATCTCTCAGTGGTTTTGTTTGCAGCCTGCTTACCCAGGTCTGAATTATACTTGGGCCCCTCCTTAGCACCTTGTCAACATCCAGGTCTTTTACACACATAAAGGTGCCGACACCACTACGTAAATTAGGAACAATTAAATTCATGGACAAGCAGGAGGCAGTACATACCCACAGCCATGTGGAAAACGGGTGGCAGAGCTGCGCAGTAATGTGGAAA